ACAGGATTTCTTGTCTGGTACTCTCCAATCCACAATACCATTCAGGTCTAACCCATTTTGGTTTTTGGATTCAAACAAAATCTATGGTATGGTGGTACAACTATTATATAAAGGTGTTGATAAATATTAACACTGCCTCCCTGATTTTCCCTGTGCAATACTGGTCTCAAAAGCAATCAATCAACTTATTTGCAGAACCTGTTCACCACTCAACTAACCAAACAGGTTTGAACCACCTCAAGCACAACCAAAGGTATTATTACACCATGGACTCAAGAATGTTCTGACTCCATTTTACCATAAAATCCCCTAACATGGGGAACGATGCTGACATTGGCTCTACATATGCAACAAATCTGAAGTGCTGATGTGGGACAACACATCTGTGATAGTTAAGACGGGTAAGGGGGGGAGGCTGAATGGATGCTGTTTCCCCTGTTCTAAAAATCCAGAAATGGTAAAATATGTCTATTGATATAGGTTCAAAAATACAAACATTCTATAGAGATTGACTGTCATTTATCTGGAATTCTGAAATCTGGAATACTCCAACATTAAAAATGTCCACATGGATGGCTGAGATAGTACATAAAACATTTACTTTCTGATAGTTCAGCACACATAAACTTCGTTTCATGTGCAAATGTATTAAAATGTTGTGCATAAAATTACCTTCAGGCAATGTGCATAAGCTATATATGAAACATCAATGAATTTCAGGTCTAGACTGGAGTCCCATTTCCAAGATAGCTCATTATTTATGTGTATCTGCTGAAACCAATTTATACAATTGCATCAACCACATCCTGATTCAGCTGCTGTGTACTGAAAAAAAAATCCCATTCATCTTCTTTCAACAATGAACAGAAATATTTCAAGTGAAAGGCCGGAGACAGAGTGGCATAAAAGATTGAGTGTTGGACTACAACTCTCTGGAGAGTAGGGCTCAAAACTTTGCTCAGTGTTGTCAACTCAGTGGGTGGAACTGAGCTGGTCATACACTCTCAGCTGCAGAAAACACCTTGAGAGAGTCACCTCAGAGCAGCCATTTGTTGGAAAGGATTTTAAGGCATGCAACAATAATAAAGGAAAAAGTGTTCACATAAACCAGAGGTCCTCAATTTTTTAAGCAGAGGGCCAGTTCACAGTCACCATGACTGTTTTTTGGGGGGTGCTTATTTGCAGTGCAAAAAATATGAAAGAACAATACAATATTTCAAATGAAGACCAATTTTAAGCAACATAAACTTACCAGTATTTCAATGGGAAGTGTGGGCCTGCTTTTGGCTGATGAGATTTTTTTTATTTATTACATACATATCTATCCCACCCTTCTCCCCACATGGGGACTCAGGGCAGCCTTACATAAGCACCCAATGATGCTATCAACATATACACCAATAAAATTACAATTAAAACAGTAAAATCCATTTAAAACATTGTACAGATTCAACAAATAGTCAAGTTAATTAGGATTACAGTGCCCAAATTCAGCACGTAAACACGAATGAGGGAACATGAAAGGCACAGCAGACTAATTCAATCAGAGAAGTCAGCCATAGCAGAGCACTTGATGAACCAACCTGGACACAGCATATTATTTGAGAACACAGAAATGCTGGACCACTCTAACAACCACCATGTCAGACTACACAGAGAAGCCATTGAAATCCACAAGCATGTGGACAATTTCCAGAAAGAAAGAAACCATGAAAATGAACAAAATCCGGCTATTAAAAGTTCTAAAATCAGGACGGTAAATAACAACAACAACAATGGTGGTCCCAGTGGTGATCGGCACACTGGGTGCAGTGCCTATAGACCTTGGCCTGCACTTAAACACAATCGGCCCTGGCAAGATTACCATCTGATAGCTGCAAAAGGCCACCCTACTGCGATCTGCATGCATTATTCACCGATACATCACACAGTCCTAGACACTTGGGAAGTGTTCGACGTGTGATCCAATACAACAGCCAGCAGAGTGACCTTGTTTGCTTGGACCCATCTTGTTATGTTTCAAATAATAACAACAACTTTATTTTTATACCGTGCCTTCATCTCCCCAAAGGGACTCGGGCAGCTTAGAAGGGGACAAGCCCAAAGAGCACAGAATTAAAACATAACACAATAAAATAAAATCAAAGCAAAACAATATAAGAATGTATCTATCACAATAAAACATAACTTCATAAAAACAGTACCATGCTGTGCAATAAAAATGCTGAGTAAAGCAGGGGAATTCCAGACAAGATTCAGTCAGGGCCAGCTAAAACCTCCCAACAAAGGATTCCCCCAGGCAGCAACCAGCCAGGCTTTGAAGCTGCAAGGCCATTAAATGCTAATCAAGGTGGCCATGTACAACATTCACACTTGCCTCAAGCAGACAAGAGTTCTTTCTTCCACCCTGGACATTCCACAGATATATAAACCCCACTTGCCTAGTTTCCAACACAACTCATAACCGCTGAGTATGCCTGCCATAGATGCTGGTGAAATGTCAGGAGAGAATGCTTCTGGAACATGGCCATACAGCCTGGAAAACTTACAGCAACTCAGTGATTTTGGCCATGACAGCCTTCAACAACACAGGATTGTTGTTGTTGTGTGCCTTCAAGTCATTTCAGACTTAGAGCAACCCTAAGTCTAAAGTTTAGGACAAGCGCTGGGTAAATGACGTTGGCAGAGTTGCACCCAGCCTGCAGGCCTTAGTTTGGGGACCCCTAACATAAATCATTACAATTCTCAAAGAACCAGCTTTGTGAGAATTACCACAAATTGATAACATTATTTTTTGAAAGATAAGACTGGATTTCATGACATATTTTTTGCTGAATTTATGGAATTTTAAGCTTTCCTTTCAATGTTATTTTGACTAATTATTTCTACAGAAAAAAAGGACCTTAAGGACCACCGTTTTATACTGATATCATTAGTCAGTGAACTGAAGTGATCTTGAGACTCCTTTGTAGGTTACAAGCTTCCATCTCACAATGACTCAGAATCATTAATGCCCTGTGACTCTTTGGGAAAAAATAATTTGGACAGTAACAAATGAGTAATCAAGACTGAACAGGCTTCGACTGCCATTCTTCACTTCTACTCCACCCCATTTTTTACTGAACTATAAAACTTTGTATTTTTCTCATTTCCTTTCTCACCTACTAATATGCATCCATAAAACAAAACTCACATGTGACCTTAACGAACAAATGCAATATTTTGGCAAATGATTACTCAGATTCAACTGTTTATCTGTTTTATGGTATGCATACATCTGGAGGTAACCTATAAAGTTTGTACAGATCAAAAAGCAGGCAGATATCATGTCTATTTCTATTTCATTTTTACTGAAATGCTAAACCAGACTTGAAATTAAGACTTGAGAGAGGGCTGAACCAGGTATTTATTGCATCTCATGAATCCTACACGGAGATATAAACAAATCTACATGCAGTTTCCAGAGAGCAGGGTTTTGTTTTTAGTGTCAGGAGCGACTTGAGATACTGCAAGTCGCTTCTGGTATGAGAGAATTGGCCGTCTGCGAGGACGTTGCCCAGGAGACGTCTGGATGTTTTACCATCCTGTAGGAGGCTTCTCTCATGTCCCTGCATGGGAAGCTTGAGCTGACAGATGGGCGCTCACCCCCTCCTACGGATTCGAACCGACCTTTCGGTCAGCAGTCCTGCCGGCACAAGGGTCTAACCCATGTGTCATCAGGGGCTCCAGCAGGGGTTATTGTGTTGTATATTAATCTGCTGCTGAGACAGGGCTAATCCTCATGAGTTGTTCTCATGACTAACGTTCTGTTCCTGAGATTGCTGATTGCTGTAAGGATAAAGTGAGGGCAATTAGAACTATGTACTCCATATTGATTTTTTTTAAAAAAATAAGAAAAGCAAAATATACATATGACCCTATATTTGTTAGTAGACTGCAACTCCCAGAACTCCTCATCATTGGCTAGGCTGGTTAAGCCTGTAGGACCTGCTATTCAACAATATCTGGAGAGCCATCAAACAGAACTTATCTTGTTTAAATAAACAAAATAATGAAAGTTATATAGATTATTTACTGGCACCACATCCTATTTGCATTTACAAACTAATCAGGGTTAGGGCCAGTTAGCACCTGGAAAATGAGAAATATGAAGTACTATAGGCTGTATTTCAGAGGAAGTATTTCTCCAAGTATTTCTTGCTATAGAAAAAACTATAAAATTCATGGTAATAGAAAGGTAATTTAAATACACAAGTACACCAAGTTCTTATATCACCATATTGGTTTTCACAAACATTACAAGCAATTTATTTTTATGTATTTATTTAGTATATTTATATACTGCCTTTCTCACCCCTGGGGTAGGGGGGACTCAAGTCAGTTTATAACATATTAATGGCAAGAATTCAATGCCAACATACATATCATAAAATCAAATCACATAACTAAACACTGACAAATAACTATAAATTAAAATCATTAAAACCATTAAACATAGGCATATACAACATATAAACATTAAGACAAAGCAACAAAAGCAACCTAATATAAATATTAGAATCACTTGATCCAAAAATCGTCCACCGTGGCCATTACGATTGTCATAGCACAGATTTCCTGATTATTCTTTGAAAACCTAGTTCAATACAACGAATTCAGAAAGCTTTCATATGGAAAAGATTTGTCACCTTTCTCCTGAGTCCCACCTTACAGAAAAGTACAGCCAGATTGTTTGTTCTGCAGTATTCTCCAAACCATCAGATATCTGTCTGATACAAGGAACAAAAGGAAGGGAAGACAAACATAGTACCAGGGTATGGGTAAAAGATGCACGGGACTTTTCCTTACAATCCAAACTGTTTCAGTACCATTGACTGATGGTAACTCAAGCAACTGTAGCTGATGCTGATAGGAATATTTGTTGTTTTTCGACATCAGTACCACGTATTTGCCAAAACACGAAGAAGAAGCACTGTTGCTCTAGCACACCTGAGACGTACCTGTTCTGGAAGGATTTCCCAGCAACGTTGTCTCTGTAAGAGTCAAACA